GTTTGGCCAGCTGAAAAGAGAACTGATCTCCATATTTCCAATTTTTTGTTTAAAATTCAATCTTAGAAGAGAACAGATAACCAACAATGTGTTTTAAGGAACAAGACTGTTAACAGTTATACACAGACACACAGCCGCAACAGGAATTTCAGTTGATACCAGTCTTCTGGGTATTCTTAGATGCACTTCTCTAATCTGAAGCTACTAGATAGAATTTAAAACAAACTGAACTACCAGCTTATGGTACAACAGAATCAGAAGGTACCAGTGTTTGCTGAATCCTGTACTGAGGTGGTTCTAAAGGGTCTCCAGAGATAGCAAATTTGAACCTCATTTAACCAGTAGTTTGTTGAGAGTTCATGATGTAAAAGAAGTAAGCAAAATCTCCCCTATTTTTTACTCTTCTGCATATTTTTGTGTGATGTAGAAATAACTTTTACTTTCCCAATTACTTTCTCTCTTGGAACTATGGGGGTGGGGACGGTACTTGAACTGATTTTTATTTTTAGCTCAGCCAGCCAGGGATCCTGGAGGACAGCAATCCATAGTCAGACTTGAAAAGTTTCATGGAAAAAAAAATATTGACTTTGATCCAAGCAGTCAGTAATCTAGGAGCAAAGATGCTGTCACAAAGCAACACATGATGAATTAGATTTCATTGCAAATAAGCCCCTCTAATTATTTCCCTGTGATTTAGAGAAAATTAATACTTCCTTTTTGTCTAGGCAAGCAGGCCAGTGCACCTTCTTTTGTCAAACAGCACTTGGAACTTCATGGGCTGCCAGCACTGAGAGCAATACTTTTCTCTCACTACAGCTTTTGTTGGACATAGTTATGAATGATTAGTAAGATGCGAAAGGGGACAAGGATATGCATCTCACTGAAATATTGGGTGGATCAAGGGCATTCACATTCAGATGTGCACCCAATTATATACCCATTATTTTTAATGGGATGTTTGTTTTACTGTGTTTTCAAAGGCACCGCCTCCATTCACACTCTGCTACATCTGTGCACAACTAGGTTATGATGAAAAAGTTCCTTCTTCCTCACCCAGCACCATATCCATCTGTGAATAACTCCCCATCTTGTTAAAATGAGATGTGAAAGATTTTCAAAGGAGAAGATAAGTTTTATAGGGGGAGAGGCATTCTCCACCATCAGCTCAGCCATCCTGCTAAACTGAGTGGGGGATAGATCTGCCAAGAGCACATCAGGATCTGGATGGGGCAGAAGAGGATGAAGCTGAACCCAGGCAAGGCAGTGTTATTTGTCCATTAAGGCTCTGCCAATGTCAGTGTTGTCTCTTGATGGGAAGGCACTATCTTGAAGGAGCAGGTCTATGATTTGGAGGTCTTTCTGGACTCATGGCTCCTGCTAGAGTGGTAGGTAGAAGATGTGGCCAGATGGGCCTTTGCCTAGCTTCAGCTAGTACACCAGTTGTGGCCTTTCCTGGTACAAGAGGACCTTGCTACAGTAACTCATGTCCTCATTACCACCTGGTTAGACTCCTGCAACATGTTCTATATGGGACTGCCTTCAATATCCATCTGGAAGCTACAGTAGGTGTAAAATGCAGTGGCCCATGTATTAGCTTAGGCATGATGCCAGGAGCACATTACCCTTGTGCTATTGATTGTTTTCCATGTGCAATTTAAAATGCTGGCTTTCACCTATAAAGCCCGTTATGGCTTGGCACCTGAGTACTTGCAGGACTGTTAACTTCAACTGGAATTGGCCCAATCCATAAGGTCATTGTAGGAGAAACCGCTTATAGTTTCCCACTTTTGGAACTCAAAGTGAGCTAAGGTTAGAAGGTGTTGCTTTTCAGTAAAAGTGCTGGCCCTCTGAAAGAGTCTCCCAACTGAAATCAGACTGGCCTTCTCACTGATTGCATTCAGGAAGATGCTGGAAACAGTTGTTTGATAAAGCATTTTAGCTTACATCTGACCATCCATTTAATTTAATAGTTGAGCTTTTTTTATGATATGATTTTGCTTAATTGTTTTTAATTTATACTGTGGATGTTTTGAAGTTGTTTTATATTGTATAAACTGTCAAGAGTCATTTTTTATTGCAGCAGGAAGAGTGCAGTGGGGAATACAGTAACAATGGGTGCATTACTAGGCCACTTTGGGAATGGGCCTATGTGTTCTATTATCATATTCTTGAAAGTGGACTTTCTTGCTTGGAAATACTGCTGAGCGTAGCCTTGCAGCAGGAGATAAGTGTAACTTTCTGCCTTGCAGGGTAACTGCAACGTGTACATTTTCAACTGCTCACCAGTTTTTAAAACCCTATAAAGACCTAGCTCAGGGGCTGATCTTCAGGCCATCTTAAATAGCACTGACGTTTTGGCATACAGAACAGTATATATAGTTCTGAAATTCAGCATTCACAATCAATCCCAGTTCTGGCATTTAGTTGGGTCTTTTCTGTGCCATATTCTTGTTTCTCCTGGTACTTTCCTTGACAGACTAATAGCAGGCTTTGATCTTTATATGCTTGCACATTGGAGAGTCATAATAACAGCATGAAGAAATAAGGGTGGGAAGCCATAATGATAAATCCAAGTGTCTCTATACACACATACTTTGCCAGCTTGAGTGAAATGTGCCGGATTGTCTTTCACAGATGTGCACAAAGTGAAACTTTCAACAAAATAATCAGCCCAGATGCTAGAAGTATTGACCAGAGAGGACTGAGCTTGAAATATGGCTGTCGCTGATCAGTGCAACTCAAGTTAAACGGTGTAATCTATTGGGACTAAGAAGCCTGCCTTTTCTGTCACGGTGCAACTCCCCTGGCACTGTGTAACCCCCACCTCCAAAATCTGTATGGCTCCCAGCTTGGTGATGTCTTGAATGTCTCTGAAAGCCTGGCTGTTCTCCCAGGCCTTGAGCTAAGGTTGCTGCTGAACCCTTCTAAGTTATTTCTCAGTGTTATATGGTTTTCTCTTCTGGTTGTTCTTGATAATTTTTGTTTAAAAAAATACTACTGCTTGCTTTTAAAGCATAAGTTGCCTGGAGTTGTTTGGAATTGAGCAGCTTCTAAAGTATATAAATAAATAAACTGAATACCCTTCCTTCCCCCAAACTGTATAACTGATAGATATTCATGAACATCACAGATTGCCAGAGAAGCTTTTCAGCATAATTTAAGGGAACTCTGTGTGTCTCTGTCTGTGTATGTTCTCTTAAAAGTAAAATCTTACTTATCTTTGAGCTGTTTCTGTAGAAAGGAAGGCAGCAGTGGAAAAAAAAATTATTTTACACTATTTATAAACTGCACTAACCTGACCAAATCCACTGTCTTTTCTACTGTATCTGTAAAATCCCATTAAAAGTCTTAGTGGAAGAGACTCAACTTGTATTTCCTCCTTCCACTTCCACCCCCATCATGAATCAGCTCATTACTGTATTTTGTGAGTACACAACTAAAATTAACCAAATGAAAAAAATGACCTCAGTGTCAAGGAGGTTTAAACTGAAAAGTTTTTTTTTCAATGTATTTTTTGCCAAATATGAAAGAAGTATTGGAATCACCTGCATGGCTCCGCCATCTGCAACTCAGACAGCTGAGTTCCTGGAGGGTTGCTGCCAGGTGAGCTGAAATGGAGATAAAATATTGTTTTGAATATGAAAAAGCATTGTGAAATGTGAGCAAACATGCTGAGAATGCAGTAAAGAGTTATTAGCTGTTGGTCCCCAGACAAGATGAGAATGTTTGACAGCTAAATGACCCCAATTCCCAGATCATTTCTAGGGAAAAAATGGATTCTTGATGCTGTATCGGTAATACATGCACCAATTTATTTGTTACTTCTTGCAGAATAGGGTGGTGTTGTATGCCAGGAAATGGAGGTTAGCCACATATTCCACTAGCATCTAATTTGAGCTTCAAGTCCATTTTTTGAAAATGGTTCAAATATGTGTTACACTGGACAAATTCAGTTGTAGTAATACAAGTAAAGCAAACTGGGTAATTTTAGATGTAACCATGCAGAAACAAAGGGTTGAAATCACTGCTCTTTTCCCATGTAACAGGGTTAAATCTTCATAGTTTCCACACTCAGAAAAAATGGAAACTGGTTAATTATCCTAGGAGGTTTACTGAGCTTAAACTTTAATGTCAGCCAGTTTATGAGAGAGAGCTTAATTGTGGGCAACTAGCAAGAAAACCTCTCTAATGTCCTTGTTCTGCCAAAAAAAGGTATTGATAGAGCAGTATGGATTTTGTAATGATACAATACCTACACTGAAAGGGAGACTAAATGCAGAATTATACATTATTTCCCAGAGGAAACCTTGGGGCTTAAGAGAATCTTTTCTATTGGTTTGCACCATTTAAGCTATTTCATTTTGGGCTTGGCATTGTTATCTACTGGTGCTATCCTCCTATGTTTCTGTATAGTATTTGGACTCTCCCTATGAGTTGGCATCATAACATATTTTACACAAAAAAATTAAGCTAATTGATTTTATAAGTTTCAGATGATGGTGGGGGGGGATATAGCTTAGAATCTGTGCAGCACTGATTGTCAAAGAACACAGTGTTCTCCAGTTGATTCATGTATCCTGTTCTCTTGTTAGATGAAACAACATTTGAAGCAGGAGTCAAAGTCCAGATCCACAGTCAGTCTGAGCCGCCATTTGTTCAGGAACTTGGGTTTGGTGTGGCACCTGGTTTCCAAACTTTTGTAGCCATGCAAGAACAAAGGGTAAGTTGTTTTCCTCAGGCAGGTTGGGTACCTGCTTGCTTTACTTCTAAGATAGAAAGAGAAGAAAAGCTGCCTTGGTTGAACGCTTTGGTGACAACCTTAACAAAGGCAGCCTGATCTTGAGATGGGGTCTCATCAATGGACTTTTGAGAATGGGTTGAGAATTATGATGAGGACCAAAAATCATAGCTACACTAGAAACCTGTATTGGATTTATAATAGTTTAATTTACACTTCCAAGAATCCTGAGAATTGTCATTTAATAAAAACTCCCAGAATTCTGTGGTCTTCACCCTTACAGTTCTGCCACATCACAGAACTGTGTGAGGAAAAAGGTTTAAACCTCTGTACACTTCCAAGGAAGATGTTTCTGCATGTCAGTCTGTCTTGCATAGTTTATGTGAATGTGGGATTGCCATTGAAGAAACATCATGAAAGAAACAATATTCTGAATTATTTCCAGTATACAGTCTGGCATCATTGAATAGCATAGCTGTTTCAAATGTTGTCAACAGAGAGGCAGCCTTACCTCTTCAAGGAGAAACTGAGGTTTTGCCAGCTCATTGATGAATTTGACTGTCTTCAGCAGAGCTTGTCCTTATTTTTACTTGTTTATACATGCATACAAGCAGCAGTGCTGTCATACTTCTGCCTACCAGTCATAGTTCTAAATCACACACATAAGACAAGCAACTGTGCAGTGCATAGATGTGGTTTTATCAGGTCCAGCCATTGCTGGAGCAAGGGAGTAGCAAGTGCCTATAACGTCTGCTCAAAAGTAATTTTGCAGGATTGGTATGTGTATCGTCCACACTGTATCATTATGGAAGGAATTACTGAAGCTGCAAAACCTTTCTTTCCTTTGCAGTTTATTATGCTGCCAAAGGCAGGATGTTAAGAAAGATGAAATGTTCCCTAAAACAACCATTTCTGCCAGTTTGGCCATAAAAATTAAAGAGGCTTCAATTAAGCAAAAAGGTTGGAGATGTGGTGGTGATACTGGGTAGGAATGCTGAAGTGGGCCTTTGAGATTCATTTTGTGAAATGTTCATGCAGTATGGAAAGAAAGAAAGACCATCAAAATATGAGAAAAATATCTTAGGACCATTTTATAAAAGGAGAATAGGGATTCCCATTATACATTCTGTGACTTGGGAGCCATATGTGGTATACGGATTATAATAAAAGAGAATAGACTGTTGATGAACGGAGAGGCAGCAGTTGATACAGGGCACAGAGCGCATTAGGACAGAAGTCAGCTGGCAAGAGACAGGCAATCGTAGAAGGATTGCTGTGGAATGGATGTGGGAAGGCTCTGGGATGGCTGTCACAAACTCTCTGGAGAGTGAAGCAGTGGAAAGTCTTTCATCTAAAGCAGGAGGAGACTGCCTGGTGTCAGCCAGTGGAAAGCCTTTCATTTAAAGCAGGAGGGGAACGCAGTGGCATAGCGGCTTAATGATGCTGGAGTTTGCCGGCCAGAAATGGTCAACATTCCAGTGGTTCGAGCCCAGCTCCGCGTGACAGGGTGAGCTCCCATCATTCATCCCTAGCTCCTGCCCACCTAGCAATTCGAAAGCATACCATCTGCGAGTAGATAAATAGGTACTCCCATTTCAGTGGGAGGAAATGCTGGTGGCACTTTGCGCGGGGGACAGGAACCAGTGCTGGACCCGCCTAGACATGATTGGCGGAAGATGCAACGCAGTCGGCAGGAAGATCGGCGGAGGAAGAAAGCCCAGATGATCTGACTTCCCTGCAACTGCTGCTGGCCAAGTAGAGAAGACTAGTAATTGTAGAGAAATTAGTAATTGTTAATATATAAAAATAATGTTGTACACAGCCCAGAGTTGCTTGTGCGAGATGGGCAGCCATATAAATATGATGTATAAATAAATAAATTCCAATGTTTTGGACATCAATTCCCACCACTCCCAAGTCAGCCTGGCCAACAGTAGAAGATTGTGGGAATTGCAGGCCCAGATATGTGGAGGGGATCTGGTTGTCTTGTCCAATCTATACCAACCAACATTCCCAATCTGTTGCTGCTTTCTAGATGCATTGAACTACAGTTCACATCATCCTAGCAGAAATATCAGTTTGCTATTGAATATATGACTGGTGTAAGTTTTTGGTCATCATGTGGGGAGTCAGCAATATGAGGTGGTGACATTTAAAGTTTTGGCTGCAGCAGACAGGGAAATACTGACTTATCTAAGATAAAAAATATCTTGGCCACTTTAGAAGAGTTTTGGCTGACATCTTTATTTTTTGAGGGACAAACATTTCTCATAAAAGATGAAAGTTAGACAGGAAGCCATATATGTTTACTCAGAAACTCCCATGTAGCTTGGCTTCCTCTGTTGACTCATCACAAATTTCAAGTTAGTTCGCTTGCTGTATCTGCCATGGCCTATTATAGTCCACACTGTATTCCTGTGAGACCAAAACCACTTATAGGTAGTCCTCAGGTTACGACAGCAATTGGGACTGGGATTGCTGTTGCTAAGTGATGCACTTATAAAGTGCGATGTAACGTGACTGCATTACTTAGTGATGACAATCTCAGCAATCCCAGTTGCTGTTGTAACCCCAAGATGTGCAGGACATTCAGCAGGAAGCAGTGGGACTCCCAGATAAGGAGCACGGGGGGTTGGGAGAGGGCTTGGAAGGCCTGGTGCAGGCTGTGCACGAGCGCAGGAGAGTCAGGGGATGGACAGTGCAGCAGGGCGCAAGTACAGGAGGCCAGGAGATGGAGGTACAGCAGGGCATGAGCATAGGAAGGCCAGGGGGACTTACCAGAGCAACTTGCAACCTTCCCTGCTGGCCGCCCCATTGACTTTGCTCAACTCTGGAACGCTGCGATCATCGTAAGTGTGAGCTGGTTGCCAAGCAACCAAATTGCAATCACGTGACCATGGAGGCACTGCGATGGCCGGAACTTTGAGGACCAGTCGTAAGTACCACTTGTTCAGCACCATTGCAACTTCAACTTAAAAATAAAATACTTCTAATGAGAGAGAGAAAAATACTTCTAGCATTTTACATTTTCAAATACATAAAACAAACACTTCTTGTAGAAATAATAACTGTTTTCTACCTCTTTGTCCTGGCACATTCAGAGCACCTTCTCTCTTACCCAACACAGCTGCTTCCTCCACAACTTTTACAGAAACTATTCTCATTATTTATTTTACTGAAATAATTTATATATACAGTCTTTTATGAATTATATTGTCACTCTTATAGGATAGCTAAACATTATGTACAAGCACGCATCTGTTAAAACTCAGATCATTTGGCTGTGCGCTGGATCCATCCTTTTTCTTACCTTTGTGGCAGTCATTTCCAACCTATTACTTTCCAAGTGTTTATCTGCTAGTTCCTCCCCTCAACGTTGAAGGAGCAAGTATATGACCCTTGACTTTTACTGAACACTGAAATAAGAGCAAGCTGCAATTGTTCTTTAATGAGACATCAAATCAGATCACACAAGTACAATTGCTTCTCCATTCCAGCCTGTCTCCAACTCCCTTTTGTCCATCTGCTCTCATTGCCTGTTGTATTTAGCATGTGCATCTGAGTTCTCTCCCTTGTTTTCTTTTTCTTGCAAAAACCATCAGATGGCAGCTGATACATTTCTTAATTTACTCCCTCCACTCCTTCTTTACAGATTATTTAATATTGCTTGTTAACCAAATTGACTTTGTTGCACAGACAGACATAACCAGTTTATGCTGACAATAGAATCAAAGTTCTTCCATGTGGAAAGAAAGCGTTTGAATATTTTTTCCCATCTCAGAGTATCTCTCCACAGATACATAGCGGGTGTTTAAGGGGGACAAGTCCATCTTAATTCTTAATATGATTTTTTTCTATGTAGAGGGAGAATTTTATTTCTTTATTATTATTCAGTAGGATAGCTGGAGAATTCTGGGCATTGAAGTCCACACATCTTAAAGTTGCCAAGTTTGAAAAACAATGATATAGACTAATCCTGTCAAATGTGGAGTCACAAAGATACACATCTATTTTCCCTTGCCTAGAGTCTTCCAAAGTTTTGGATTACAACTCCCATCATCAAATTGGAATTCCCAGAATCCCTTCTGTCTCTTTCCAGTTCAAGGATAGAAATATTAGGTCTCTTTTACTGGATTGCTGTAAAGCTATTGAAGTAATATGTACTGTTTGTAAACACTGTAATCCTTTTTGGTTTTGTGGGGAGCCTAAAGTAGTTTAAAAGGAGAGACAATGAAGAAGAAGAAAAAGATTATCATATTTCCAGGTATCATCTGTGCTTATCACATCAAAATAGTTTGGGCATTCTAAGATACCATGTAAATTATTTTTGTTGTTATTTCAGCAAATAAGCCTCATCTGGCACCAGTGATACTGTATAATTTCTTAGAAAGGAAAAGAAGATTGAAAAAGCAGAATCATCTGGCCCTGACCCCTTTTACTTGGGGCCAGGCAAGTGACCACCAAGGAAATGAAGCCTCTAATTTTGCTCAGCCATGCTTGCTTAAGATGCTGCTAATGAGAAACACTTCAGAAATAATTTGATTGGTTGAGACAGAACATGAAAAGTAGGCAGCCCATTCATCAGAGTACAATGGCAAAAGCAAAGCCATAATTTGTGGGCTGAGCATGGCTAGCCAGCAGCAAGGAAACAAGAATTATCTGCCTTGGAGACTACAGGAGCTGAACTGTGAACTCTTGATGAATCTACACAGCCCAGAGGAAAAAAAATACTTAGACTTACAATGGTCAGATCCAAATAGATAATAGCATTCTTCTTCTATCCTACTTTCCCTTCCAGAGGCTTTGACAGCAAAGAAAAGTGTCTCTGGATCAGCCTAAACACTACGCATCTGGCTTTTTACTCTCACCTAGTTAAATATTTTATGTGTATTACATTTCAGGTTCTGGTTCCAGATTCACTGCAGGTCCCAAATGTGGCCCTGACAAGAGCATTCTGCCAGAGCAAAGTAAGCCTTTCTTCTTGCCATTTCTGCAAATCAAAGGCACAACCAAAAAGGCACAATTAAGCATTCAAGCTGTGCCTTTCCTGCAGACATCAGGCCAGCTCAAGAGCAATGTGACTTCAAGTCAGGGCTGGCTTCCTGAGAAACACTGAAATTGAATATGTATTTATTCCATCATTGCCTTAGCTCATCACTTACATTGCAACACAGTTTAAACAACTTCAAAGATTTGCATGGCAGCCAGTCTGGAACAGACGCCAGGTCATCAGAGTTGACGAATATTTATTCTCCAGTATCATAGTATCTGTAACATATGGGTGTTGCTCTCCTCTCCAGATGACTAAATGGTGGCAGATGCTGGGCTATTATCTTGATAGAAGAATGTAAATGAGGCATGGCTCCAATGGCATTTTGTCCCTGTCATAAAGAAACTGATAAATCTCTCCTCTAGAAAAGCTGCTCTGAATCCATACTGTGCTCCCTCAAGAACAGTATAGTTCTTGTAGCCAGTTGGTGATGGATTCCAGTTGCAACTTCTTTGGTACAGAGTTTGTTTCCAGCCCTGGCAAAGCATGCCACGGTATATAAATAGAGAGCAAACCCCATCCCATTTTAGCACTGAA